TCATATCGGAGAGCCCATTCCCGGTAATTCAAGTGTGGCTATGGAAGAAATTCATCATCCCTGAAATGCAAGTTGGTTTCTAGTGGAAGCAATAACTAACTCGAGGCAGGAAGGAAAGGCAAAAATCCCATGTGGGTTGGTTGCTCTGACCTGCTCACTGCTCTAGGGTTTAAAGGCAAGTGTTAGCTGCCTGTTCTGGCACAGGAAAATGGAGGGATGAGTTGCTCCAACTTTAAGCTCTTGGTTAGCATCTGGTGGAGCACAGAACTGAACATGCTAAGGCAAACCAGGGCCATGTGCACACTGAAACACTGCATTTGTGCTCATCTGAACACGTTGCATGTAGCTGTCATGAGTAAGACATGAACTGAAGGGTAGAAACTTACAGTCCTTGCAGAAGAAGAGAACAAGAGATTTCTTTGCTCTGGAAGGAAGATTATTGAGCAGGTGACTTCAGAAAAACAGTTGCTCTAATTCTTCTATGCAACATACTTCTATATAATGGTATGCAATAGAGTTTAGGAAAGGCCAGCATTATTTTAATGGAAAGATTATCTATCTATCTATCTATCTATCTATCTATCTATCTATCTATCTATCTATCTATCTATCTATTCTATCTACACCTACACCTACACCTACACCTACATCTATACCTATACCTATATCTATCTTCTATCATCTATATCTATATCTATATCTATATCTATATCTATATCTATATCTATATCTATATCTATATCATCTAAATCTATATCTATATCTAGTCTATATCATCTGTTCTATCTAAATTATCTTGCAGTAATCACTAACACAAGTCGTTGGAACTGTTTAAATTGGGAAGAGGGAGCAGAGACAACTGACAACTGAACATCAACCTCTTACTAACAGGAGGGGCTAAGTAATATTAGCAACATTTATATTCCTGTAATTTTTTATCTGAGAAAGCTTCTTGCCTCTCAAAAGTTGGTTCACTTTGTCTGGGCAGAGTTCAGTGGCAGTTTAACAACTGGAGTTGTTTAGAGGAAGGATGCAGTCAGCTCCACCTCCCAGAGAACCAGCAGGCTTTACCCTTTCGTGAAGACTTGGTTAGTCTGGAAAACCTCAAAACAATAATAGAAGCCCTCAGATGAAATTACTGTGTTGAGGAGATAAAACTTGTAGACCCAAAGAGCAATTTAGTTTAATTTCTATAATTCTTCCATGGTTTCAGGACAGTGGGGTATATCCAGACAATGAAATGGTGAACTGGGCAATTCTCTGACTCTGAAAACAGAGGGAGTCACACAGATGATTCCCCTGGAACAAAGTTGGTTAACATAGTTTTGCTGCCCACTAGCATATCTATGAGCTTGTGAACAATATCCTCTCCTCTTCTCTTCCATTTTTCCTGTATACTTCTTCTTCTGACCAAATAATCTGCGGGTGCAATGGAGCCCACATTTAGCCTATGGAATATCAGCCGTTTCTCAACACGCAGTAAAATGCCATTAACTCCACTTTTAGGACTTGTCACAGAAGATAATTTCCTTGGCCTTTTAAACCTTCAAACTTTTCACTCTTCAAGTACGTGACAGGGCACTCTGGGGGGGTGGGAGGCAGGACTACCTGCAGGTAGCGAGTGTTTGCAGCCATGAATTACAGGAGTTATTTTCTGCCAAAGACAGGCAAGGAGCACTTTTCTGGGCCCGTCTTAAGGAAACATCTCCCATTTGTTGTAATACAGGCAGTGGCCTCTTAGGTCAAACGTTCCAAATCCTAGCCTTTTACCCAGATTGTTAAAGCTCTGTCACTGCGCTGTTTTCCCTTGACTGATAGTGGATGATTGCCTGCTCTCAGTTACTTGCTACAACTCCTTTCAAGTTGATGGACTTTGTGTTTAGAAGTGTAAATAAAGTAGACCTGGGTGTGAAACCTAAGTGTCAGCTCTGACAAATGACACTTGTGTGTGGAGAGGGGACTGCTCTCCGAGACACCTTTTTTCTAACCTGAACAGAGATTACATTTCACCGAGTTTCTCTGAGTGACTTCTGCTTTGCTTATTATTGTTTATCTGAACAGCCTCCAGATTTAAGAGGCCAACACGCCCTGTAATTTGGTACCCATCTCCCTCAGGGTATGATTAGGCTGGGATGTGATGAAAAAGATTCTGACTTCAGCTCCCATTATCCCGAGGCATTTCCTGCTGCAGGGATCTTGATTAGCAGACACACGATACCACGGCACAGGGACCAGCTTCCGATGAGCTCAGCCGGAGTGAAATCCCCCATAGCATGAACGGCCCCACATTATTCTGAAAAATCACCATGTCTCATCCTCGAGAGACTCTGTTTTGAGCAGAAAATGACTCAAAGAGTAGTGTACATCTACCAAAAGTAGGCATCTACAAAGTGATAACCGAAACAGCTCGGAGAGATGATGCCATAAACCTATTTCTCTCCGCTGGCAGTACACATGGTGACCAGCTCAGGTGCTCTAGCCAGAGCAAGAATATGTGATAAGGCCCTAAAAGAAGGAAAAGCCTTTTTTGTGTGCTTATACACTCACTATCTGTTCTTTCAGAGGCTGCTCAGCCCACATCTATGCAGTGCTCTGGCAAGCATTGCAGTTTTGCAAGGTATCATCTCTTTGGTGACAAAGTGTTTGCACCGAAGATGGATTCAGTTCTGCTTCCTAAACACAGGTGCCTACTGTAATTTGAGTTGCCTTTGGACAGCTCAGAAACCCAAAAGCAGGTGTCACACGTGCAACATATATATATATATGCTCTACAGGAGATCCAGGCTATTGTGAAGGGGGAGCTAGAGGCCAGGTACTCCAGGATGCCTCAGATGGTGTTGGACAAGAGGCAGCAGACATCAAGTGGAACGTGAGAAATTCTGATTAGATATTAGGAGAAAAATGGTTACTATGAGGGTGGTCCTATACTGGTGCAGGTTGCCCAAAGGTTGCCTCCATCCTTGGAGGTGTTCAAGAATTGGCTGGACATAGCCCTGAGTAATTACACCTGCTTTGAGCAGGGACGTGATCTAGATGGTTGCTGGAAATCCCTTCCAATATAAATTACTCCCTCTTCTGTAAATGTCTCAAGATGTTTTGCTGTAGAGATCAGAATAGCAACTAGAACACAGGTCCAGAATCAGCCTTTCTTCCCCACCCCAGGTAAACACATTCAAATCCCACTGCTAAACAAGGAACTCGGGCTTCAAAGCAGAAGTTCCTCCCCACTACTGATGCCCCTGCATCTTAGGGGTTTAAATTCTAGATTTCAACCCACAAATACACCACAAACTATCCACGAAAATCTATAAAAATCACATCAAGAAAGAAAATGCATACCTAAGGATGTAAGGACAAGAGTCCTTAGCAGTAATGTAGCAAAATCAATGCAATAACGTAGTGTATGGCATGGATTATCTGTAAACTAATGCATACCATGTCCATGCACACACAGACTTTTGTAGTGTACCAGGAGTAAAGTCAACACTCATTTCTGGGCTGTGACACACGAGTAAGCTGTCACAAGGCAATATGTTACAACCGATCGGTTGCTCTGCTCTAGCTGTGTGCACCGCTGTTCAACACAAGCTCACCAAATGCAAGTTAGCAGCTGATGTGCACTAACTCGGAAACATGTTGATGCCTTTCCTCTCTCCTGTCTACATCTGCTGTCCTGCAGGCTAGCGAGGCCTCAAAACCTTGTTTCAAGGTGAGGGCAAGCCAATTACAAGGTTAGCACTTTGTAGCAAGAGATATCAGGGCATGGTGCTTCGCCAGCCTGCTCAGAGTCTGGTCATGCTCTTTTTGATGTTTTGCAGATGTGGTCTAGCTTGTCAGTCAGGCTGGATTGCTCTGTATTTCCCCCCTCTCTTTCTAAAAAAGTCAAGGTTTGTGTTGGTCATTTTTTTCCAGTGAGACTGGGTTTATCGCTGGCTCTATTTACCATAAATTTACACATGGCAAACTTTACTATTGTCTTGAGTCAGCTGTAAATAGGAAAGATGAGTACAGTGATATTCAGTTCCACGTGAGGCAAGAAGAGACTTTGGTTTCACAGTGTGTACTCTTTCTATGGCTCCCCAATTTCTTCCATCTTTTCTAAAGGGATAATTTGGTCCGTTTGCCATGCCAGATGTGCAGAAGTATTTTAAATATTCAATCAGAATCCCAGTTGCTGTGAAGCAGATAATCACAGTCTTGGCTTGTCTACTTTTGTTTTTATTTTTAACTGTACTGTTCTTGCGAATATGATAGAACAGAAACTTGCAAAATATAGTCTCCACTTCACAGTCTGGGTCCTGGCCCAGACTTGTGGTTTACAAAGCCTTTTGCTGAGTGACAACAAAACAAATTATGCAGTCTCCCTTATGCCTTAAATTTAATATCTCATCTCCTGCCCTCTAATTCAAACCTTCACACTGCACCAGGGTTTCCTTTGTAATGAGATAACTCTGAATATTAAGTTTGCATTACGCAGGGCTATTATTCACATGCCTGACATCATTACATATGGAACTGTAATCAATAAAACATGGTGCGAGTGGGATCGGATGGCTTGTGGGCATGGGGATCAGTCACTGAAGCCCCTGAGTTACTGCAAAACATCCATCCCAAGTCAGCAGTGACCTACCAAGAAGCCTCGATGAAAACCTCAGGCAGCGAGGCCAAAGTTCGAACAGTCAGGGCCTGGGGTGGTCCCATCGTGTCACCGCCAATCCACACAGAGGGACAGGACAAGCACATAGACTCTGACTGCCTTCTGCTATATGGACTTGATTTGTGGATGAATAACCCTCCCTCTTCAGGCCTGGCACCCCAAATCCAAATCCATTTCATCTGAATTTTCAAACCCTTTCTGGCTGAGTCAGCCTGGCGGACTTGGCTGCCTGTTCTCCACCAGCTGTCGGGAAGCAATCTGCCCTGCTGAATGAAACCCAGCTGACTGCTGGCTGCTTAGAGGCTTTGCAAAGCCTGGTGTAGCACACACGCTCCCGTCCTACCTCCGTCGTTGTCCTTGCCGTCGCCGCACGCCGTCTCCATGGAGGTGTCACAGCCCGCTCCTCGCCAGCCCAGCTGGCAGACGCAGTGCCAGCCGTTCATGTCCAGAGTGCACCTGCCGTTGCCGTTGCACAAGCCAGGGCATCCCTCTGCAAGGCAAACAGCCACACGATCAAACACACCGAAAAAAACAAAGCCACAAAGCCTTGGGAAAAAAAAAAAAAAAAAAAAAAAAAAGCTACTTAAAAGCAGATGTTTCCCTCTGCTTTCAGCTTATTTCTCCACTAGCATTTGGTATCTTCACACCCGGAGCAAACTGTCCCGGTTTGGTATCAGGATGGTGGAGGGCTGCTGTTGTGACACCCACCCTGCTGTCTGAGTCTCTCAAAGCCTTTTTTCTTTTGGTAGAACCTAGATTTGAGGTTATCTGACTTACATGTGAGGTGAATGTCCCTAACACCCAGCAGGATAATGCAGCTTTCAGCAGTACTGAGATCTCAACCTGAAAGCTGGCTGGGAAGGGAAGGCACTTTCTATGTCAGAAAATGTTTGGAGAACACAGTTTCTCTTCCATAGTCATTTTGGGTGGGATTCATCTGATCTGGTTGCAGCAGACCTAGAAGGGAGGTACCTTCCACTCTCTGTAGTCAGCAGAGGACCAGCCTCTCTGGGGTCAGAAGGCCCCTTGTGTGGGTTTGATGCCCACACTGAGGAGCTGAAGGATGCTCTGGAAACACCTGTTTAACTCCACTGACTAGAAAGAGACCCCAGCAGAGGCAGATATTTCTATTACAGGTGATTAAAATTAGGGGGAGATGAACCCCACGCTTCCTGTCTGCTCACTAGGGGTTGATTTTCTCATCCGATGACCCCCTGCCGAGCTTTCCATCTTTTTTTTTTTTTTTTTTTTTTTTTTCCCAACAAAATAGCAGAGTAATTTCCCCAGCAAGCAGCAGTACGAAGGATGCGGCTTAGCTTATGCAGTTCTGGGGGCTTTTTACCTGCAGAGCTCAAAAACCTTTTCCAAGAAGCAGTCAGAAATGTTAGCTGCATTTTACAGATTAGGAAACTGAAGTAGAAGGGACTGAAGTGACTGCCAAGATCACCCAGCAGGACTGATTAAACCAGGAACACAACTGAGCCTTCCTGAGCCCTGTCCTAAGGCCCTCTCTGCTTACATGTGTTGTGAAATCCTTTCATGTTTGCATTTCTTCAGACCCTCAATGTGCAAGGCAGACTTGGTGGTGGAACTGAGCAAACCACGCAGATTCTGTGGAATTAAAAAGGGAAGGGACCTTAAAGACCATCTAATTCCAACCCCCTATGGCAGGAGGGTTGGGATTATCTTGCCCTAAAGGGTTACAACACGAGGGTGAAGAGCACCAAAGGGTGAATTTGGCTGGCCACCCCATGAGGGGCTGCCCGAGGAAGCGCTGAGGCAGCAGAGCAGGCCGTGCCACCATTATTGTGCGCTGAGGAGGCGCAGCGCCCAAAGGCCTTGTCACTAAAACCATGTCCCTCTGCGAACTTAACATCTCCGCCAGGACTGTTTTGATAACTTAAAGGTGGCTAGGGACCAAATGGGATAAGGAACAAAGTTGCTTAGGTCCTCTAAAAGGATCTTAAATAGATTTTGCATTTATTAACATGTTTGTAGCATCTCAGGCCTTTAAAACGTGTGCGTGTGAGGAGGGGGCATACCACATGTGTACGTGTGAGTATGCTCTGTGTGTGTGTATACTTCAGCATTTATACATTATATTAGTATCTATACATTATATTAGTATTTATGCACTACAGATAAGCTATTTATAGGCAAAGTTATATGAAATTCTCCATTTTAAAATCCTGCCTTCAGTTACTTACAACAGTGCCAAACTCTTAAGCATTTATTTTTTTTTTCAATGCTAGAGCTAATTTATTTGTTTGTTCCCTTTAGTTACTTTCAGTAGAAGCTGAAAGCTTTCAGCTGTTTTGGAAAATGAGAAGTGTATTACTTTTTAAAATAACCTGCTAAAATTGCTTCATTAGGTGGGTAATTGCACTTTGGAGCAGATAAATTCCATTTGGATGGGCCCATCCTGACAGAAGGGATATGACTTTTTTCCCCTCTTTATAAATCTGCCTAAATTTGTCTAGACAAAAAGCCTCTGAAGAAATCTGGAGAAATCACTTTATGTGTATTCTGCATGGCCCCGGTAGAGCTCAGTTGGCAGCTCAGTTCTGCAATGACACTGTTGCATTGTCATTGAGCACATTTCATGTTTTAATTGCTCTAGTGCATCAGTTGGACTCTTCATAACCCATCCTAAAAAATTCATTTCTATCCTGCTGCTACAGAGACTGAGCAGGACACCGCTTTTAAAGGTGCAGCGGTGTTGGCTTGGACAGGAGTGCAGTGAGAATCAAAAAGAGTTGGGTGATGAGAAATTGAAGAAACCTCTATAGAAGCATGAGAGAAGAAAGGCTGGATACCACCAGATCTTTAACACAAATATTGTTTAGTATCTGGAGTAGACTCTTCATTTTCTGCAATGGAAAGAAGAGGGTTTTAGAGATTTTTGATGGGATTCCTTTGGTTCAGTTTCAAGCCATGCAGAAACAGGTCCAAACCCCGGGAACAGGTCAAAAGGTTGGAAACGGTTGAAGTTGGGGCTATGATGAAAATTCAGAGGGAAAAGAGGGATTCCATTTCTTCCTTTCTTTTCTTTCTTTTCTTTTTCTTTTTTTTTCTTTTTTTTTTTTTTTCCTTTGCTTTGTTTTCTTTCAAATATATTTTGCATTTCTTAATGTTTGGAAGAAAGATCTAAAAATCAAAGGTCTAAAATTTTTAGACAAGAAATATACTGTACTGACTGATCGCTTGCTGTGAGACTGAAAAAAAGCAAATGATCTTAAAATATTTCATGTGAGAAGTGTCCAGCAGGTATAGGCAAAAAACAGTATAACTGTAAAAAGGAGGATGTAATATGGAACTATTGAATGTGCTTTACTTTTCCAGACTTGGGAAAGGTGGAATTTGGAGTGGCAGAAAATGGCTGATATGATTAGGATGGAAGGACCATCTGCATCTGAGGAAACGAGAAGAGGTTGATTGATTTGCTCTAGCACAGCAAAGGCTGAAAATAATATAATTGTTTTCCACAAATTTGAGAAACAGATAAACAGGGAGAAGGAAAACAGCTATTTAAGCTAAACAGAATAGTGCTGGCATAAGAACAAATGGACATAAATCAAGCATGCATAAATTCTGGTTGGAAATTAGAAAGATAAAAAAAAATGTATTTTCCTGGATCAAAGAAATAAGGTTTTGGAATAGCCTCCTAGTAGGATGGTTAAGGTCAAGAAGCTCCACTGATATCCAAAGGCCCTGGTAGAATTATATAAAATTTTATACAATGTGGTTGCCCTTGACAGCTGACAACTGGACTCTGTCTGAGAAGACCCTTTCAGTCTGATGTTATTTAATTTTGTGTGCAATTCATTTTCTGTAAGAAATGGGTTTTGGACTATCTGAACGGGCTTTCATGATTTCCTCTGAATCTTCTTGAATTGGACCCAGAGTAATTAAGTCAATCATCTCAGAAGGCAGACAGAAGAAAAACACCATCCAAGAGAGGAAAGAAAGAGGAGAGAGAGTATCTCATAAGAGTATGTCTTCCCAAAGCGTCTATTCCTCTTCCTTGACTATTAAGGGAATCTAGGGTGATGAGCTGAGAGATAAGCATCTACACTGCAGACACCTACAGTGGGATGACTCCCTCTGTAATGTCAGAACCCATTGTCTTGCCATCTTTCAAGTCCAGAAAGCAAATTTACTTCCTCTCACCAAGAAGCGAGCCAGCCCCAGTTCCTAATGAGATAAATCTCTTCCAAGGAGTCTGAGAGAACTATTTCCTAATGAAATAACTTCTTTTTCACAGATCCATGAACACACAAGTTTTCAGGTTTTAACTGTTACGTTACAAGGTACAGCAAAGTATCAGTGCTGTGAGCACTAAATTGTACCTCTCCCATGACATGGTTTGATAGAACAGACTTCTCCTAAGTAATGACAAAGGAAATCGTTAATATAAAAGAACATAATTTAACAGTGCTGTCAAAGGACTCATAGCTTCAGCAAGTTAGAATATAACATGGACATGCAGGTCAACATATCTAGCACAATGGACCTCTAAATCCATTTCTAAATGTCCATTATTATTTCTAAACTGGTCTTGCATACAGACTTGATCATCACTAACACAATATAGTTAGGCACATACAATACTCTACATTCCACAAACAGTGCTCTTCAAAGCATTTGAAGAAAAGGTGATACAAATAAAGCTTATCCCTTCCTCTCACCCGTGCTGGGGAATAAAGGAAAAAGATCACCTTGACTCCAAAGTGCTTCTGAATATCAACGCAGCAGGGTGGCTCAGTCTTCCCAGATTTACACCACCATAATCTTGCTGCTCTGATTTCTCATAGCTAGAGTCACTGATGATTCATTATTCCTGTGTTTGTTAACTGCGTTGGAGTGACTAAGAGAATTAAATACATGAATAGGACTTTCTGAGGGGGGAAGAAGTCCTTTATGTGAGTTTCTAACCGAGGCACATGAAAGCACTGCTGATACTGTGAGATGTTCACAAAGATCTCACATCTGCCATGCATAGGAGAATACGGAGCAGGGAAGCATTACAAAAAGTGGATTGATTTTGAACCAGACAAGAAAAGATTATCAGAGTCAAAGGAGACAGTCACCAGAGTAAGAAATTATTTTAAGATTGGTGGTAAAACAATCTTCTCGTAATGATCTGTACAGCAAAGACCTACTGTAATTAGTACAATTAAAAACAATGTTCAATGGCAATTTTCTTCAAGGTAAGACATATTGCCACTTGAAATAGGACTTAGAAGACTAGACTTTCCTTCTGATCTTAAAATATTGATAGAAGATAAATATGTTTCGCTGTTGTTCCTCCACTGGCAGTAAGAAAGCACTAACAGATGCTCCAGCAAGTCTTAATAGACAGTGGTTGAGCTCTGACATGAGCGGGACACGGCTGAATGCAACATGTGAGGATGGGAACAATAGCTTGAGGGAACAATAATCAGTAAGAGACCTGCAGAAGTGTTGCAGGACTGAAAGGGAGGAGCAAGA